TATATATATTCATATATGTATAGACTTGGTTTTCTCTCGTTACACGTTTATTATCCCCATGTCTTATGCTTTCTGTGGTCTGCGCACGCGCTGTCACTCTTCTATTTTAATGAACAATATTATATAAATTAATATTCCAGCTCTATGGAGACTATAGTCCTAGCGTTTTAATTTCACTTATGAAGGAAATATTTTTTAGTGTCAAACTTGGACGACAATAGCTAGAATATATATATATATATATATATATATATATATATATATATATATATATATATATATATATATATATATATATATATATACTGTATATATATATATATATATACTGTATATATATATATATATATATATATATATATATATATATATATATATATATATATATATATATATATATATATATATATATATATATATATATATATATATATATATATATGCGAACAAGCCTGAATGGTCCCTAGGACTATATGCGACTGAAAACTCATATATATATATATATATATATATATATATATATATATATATATATATATATATATATATATATATATATATATATATATATATATATATATATATAATTCTTTAAAGTGTTGAACGTTTTACATTGATTTAGAATTATGTTGGAAACACTTAACCAGTATACAATACTGTTGTATCAAACTATATTTTGTTTCTTTAGCAAATAATTTCCATTATATTTCAATCAAATGTAAAAAGATCGAAGTTTATTTAGCAATAGAGACACACGATGGTGATAATAAGTAGTCCAAAAACGTCTGTGTAGAGGAGTTACTTAAGATAACAAGACTTAGCAGCCAGTATTATCTCCTGAGAGATACATCACCTGTCTTATATCTTGTCTGTACTATTTCGCACGTCTTTATCCGACTCTGGTAACATTGAATGTAATTCATTATCTCTAGCTGCATAAATTATACTTCTCGGTGTTATACAAGTCATTAATTAATGCATACAAATATTTGTATATCTTTTTGTTTAGTATTTTCCATAAAGATAACCGGTCAGTGAGCATTGAAGTATACCCAATGTCAGCTTGCTATTGCCTTGGCTTCACACCATATAATGTGGCATTCATTTGTTAATTAAATATCATTAAAAGGACAAGAAATATCACATCTAAAATTTATCTAACGGGTAAAGCCCAAACGCTCCGTCCTCATCTTGCGTCTCGATACAGCAGGGAAAAATGTATAATTCAGACCTCAGTATCTCAGTATGTGTGCTTTATCTGATGCCTTTCTTTTCTCCCTCTCCCCTCCCCCTCCTTACCGCTATCCCTACTCTTTAGATTTGGCCACCAACCAAATCCGCCACAATGCCTACACTAGCAACATCGACTTGGAAGACATTATAGAAGAAGACGAGGAAACACTTGGAGAACATGGTAAGAACTTTTCCTGTTTTGTTCCGGTGGAATCTAATAAAGTGTTGGTATCTTTAATATGAGAGATTTACTCATTACGAATTGCAAAAGATAATGATTCCCCAGAGTTGCAATGGTGATGACGATTGTCTCTTTAAAATGTGTGCCTTAGAGACACCTGGCCAACTTTCTTTGGTTAATTTGCTACTTAAAAAACTCACTGAGCGTGAGCACAGATTCGTCTTAAAGATACGTTGCATGAAGAGTGTACGGCTCTACTTGTAATGATCCTATGTATTGATAGCCCAAGTATTTACGTTTTTATTAAAAAATTTATACCATTAGTAATGATATTAAGTTTGCGTGAATTAATATTCATATAATATTTGATGGCTAGTCAGTTTTTTATGATTATGTAAATATCTGTATTGCTGTTCAAAAATTACACAGATACTGTTTTTTTCCTACGTACATTTTATTTCGTGAGTTGAAGTTTAGTAACAAATAAGCCAAGGAAGAAATAATGTCGTCCATCACTCATTTGCCTGAAGCACCTCATAAGAGTCCCGTTATTACTCAAGATCATGCATTCACTGTATTATGCAAATACAAAAATTATTCCCCAATCTCCGAACCTCTCAGTGTCCATTTTGGCTTGATATTTATCTATATATATATATATATATATATTTGAAGTAACTTGTGGCTAGCAGCCACTCAACTTTTTTCAAAATCATTATTTTACATAGACGCTCCCCTTCGCTAGTCTGTTCTCCCATAGTTCAGCAGGCCTTAGTTTCCCCGCCCCAATTGGACCCTTTCTTTCATAGAGTGCTGCTGGATAAGCTATTCAGAGCCCTGGCTAAATTCTCTTGAAATGCTGGTAACGTTTAAGAATCCGAGCACCTGACATCAACTGTTAACAGTAATGTCAAACGATGCTGAATTTATGCCTCAATACACTGCAATAGTTAATTATTCTCAAAACCTCTGATTATGAGATCAAAATTAGTGATTATTTTGATGCAATAAATGCGACCTTGAGATGAAAAGTTAGCCACTTTCCTTAGTACGAAAGTGAATGTTTACGTTTTTGTGACGAGTAAGAAAGGTATGTTGAATTCCAGGAAAGAGTTATCTGGTACTTTTTGGAAATCATTTAGCGAGAAAATCAGTCACAAAAATTTTACTCAAACATTTAGAAAAAAAAAAATAACCTGCCAAAATGGAAATGAGACGAGTTTAGCTGTATGCTCAGTAACAGCTCATTCCGCAGCGCTGCTAGCAAGCCTTGGCCTAGTACTAGGGAAGCTGCACTTGGTGTGTTGCATCTAGGACCGCCAGATCCTTTTATCACCAAGAGACGATGTGCGTGCCAGTAGAGGACACTTATTATGCTCTTCCTTAAGATGTAGTTTTTAACGTATTTTGAGTTAATTGTAGAGAGAAAGATTCCAATATTTCTTTTGCAGGATTTTAGACATTAGGTTTCTATCAGAGAGACAGAGGAAATCTAATGATTCTGACTTGCGATTAAAGTCTTTAATAATGTCTACTGTATAAGATATTAAAAATAGCTTGAGTGTGTGTGTGTGTGTGTGTGTGTGTGTGTGTGTGTGTGTGTGTGTGTGTGTGTGTGTGTGTGTGTGTGTGTGTGTGTGTGTGTGTGTGTGTGTGTGTGTGTGTGTACGCGCGCGTGTGTGTTGTGTGTCGTGTGTATTTGTGTGGGGCTGAAAGTATGAAAGTTAAAATAAGGAAAGCAAATCATGGGAAACAAGAGAGATAAAGAGACGGTGGAAGGAATACGCAAAGAGTTCTTTGTTGTGTAGTAGTGTAAGTGTATGAAGAGAGAGAGGATAAGATACGGTGTGACAGCGACAGGGTGAAAATGAGACCAGGAGGAAATTTAAAGACATAGTGACAATGAGACACGGGCGTGATGATGAGACACGGGCGTGACACTCAGACACATGAGTGACAGTGAGACATAAGAGTGAAAGTGAGACATATGAGTGACAGTGAGACATAAGAATGACAGTAAGACATAAGAGTGACAGTGAGACATAAGAGTGACAGTGAGACATAAGAGTGAAAGTGAGACATAAGAGTGAAAGTGAGACATACGAGTGACAGGGAGATATAAGAGTGACAGTGAGACAAAAGAGTGACAGTGAGACATAAGAGTGACAGTGAGACATAAGAGTGACAATGAGACATACGAGTGACAGGGAGATATAAGAGTGACGGTGAGACATAAGAGTGACAGTAAGAAATAAGAGTGACAGTCAGACATAAAGAGTGACAGTCAGACATAAAGAGTGACAGTGAGACATAAGAGTGACAGTGAGACATAAGAGTGACAGTGAGACATAAGAGTGAAAGTGAGACATAAGAGTGAAAGTGAGACATAAGAGTGACAGTGAGACATAATAGTGAAAGTGAGACATAAGAGTGACAGTGAGACATAATAGTGAAAGTGAGACAAGTGAAATTGAAAAATAGGGCTAAATTCAGGAAAGGTAACAAAACAAATTTTTAGTGAAAATAAAGGAAACTGGAGAACATGGTTTGAGGTCAATTGAAAGATGTGAGTAAGTGGCGAAATAAGTGAGACATTATTTTGAAAGTTAATTGACGGAGGAATAAAGCATAGTAGGCATAATGCTTCTGAAAAAAATATTTGATGCTATAGATAATAAATTTATAAAGTAGCTTTCAATGAAAATTATAAACAATAATACTAATTATGTAGAATAATACAATAGAGTTACTAATAAAGTGGAACTTTTCTTGAGGAAATGTGATTGTACACAAAGAAAAACCATCGTCAAACGCAAGAAAACTAAAAAGATATATTTAGCACATTTAAAGCATGTAGATATTCGAAGCAAGTAGTTCACACGCAGACTCTTCATAACCTGCAAAGACCTTCGGCTCTTGGTTTACTTATAATAGACCGCAAGGTTACCTGTACACCCTTTAATTTAATACATAGCATCACACCAGTAGAGCAGTTTTACCAGTTTTCACTACCTGGCGTAGATCCAGTGATGTAGAAACCCTAGATGTTGAGGCAGTTTTGTAGGGTACAATGAATTTTCTCTGGTGATAGAAGGAATTATCGTTATTTTTACCTTTTTTTATCCTTCTTAAAACGTGACTCCCCCCTGATTGTATGACAATCATGCCTTGTTACATCTTACCTAATTTTGCTGTGTGCCTGATATGGAATATGGAATTTTCTAGTAATGTTGTAGCCTAGATGGCAAAGCCGCACAATAGACAGGTCATGGGCAGTCTGTGGGCATTCAATTTTATCTGATTTTAAAACGCATTGTCGATGTAACTAATATTGCATTGCACGATCTTGTTAATCCAATTTTTGCATTACATTTTTTGTAAGTGAGCTAGAGAATGGCCCGGGGTCATGACAAGGGGCCGGGTGTATTGGGCGTAGTGCAGATGCCTGAATAAAACGGTCAAGTGGTGCAGCGCTGCATGGGGCTCATAGCTGGCCGGGTACCGCCCGCTGCGGCCGTGCGGTAGTGTAGCGACCTTTACCCTCCAATACTTCCTTCCGTTACCGCTAGAGCTCATAAAGACATTGCCAGCCAACTGCTCCTACTACAGCTGCCAAATCAGTAACTTGCTCCTACCGTTACGGCTGCTGCTCCTGCTGTTACCGCTGTCGCTACTGCTGCCACTCTGCCTGCTGCCCCGCTTACCATGCATGGAGCTAGCCTAGTGACACAGCCCTTCTCTTAACTAGACCTCTTCTTCTCGGTGCTAGTCCCACCGCCGGTCCAGCTCACCCTCGAACGACAGCTAAACAAGAGCATCGTCATCGGATGGAACCCCCCGCCAGATGCACCACAGGGATCCATCGAGTCCCTGTACCGACGCGTGAAAGAGACCTGGGGGTGGACGTAACACCTAATCTATCTCCTGAGGCACATATTAATAGGATAACGACAGCAGCGTACTCTAACTGGCAAAGTTAGAACATCATTCAGAAACCTATAAGGAGGCATTAGGGCGCTTTACACTGCCTACGTAAGGCCAGTCTTAGAGTATGCCGCCTCATCATGAGTGCCCCATCTGAAGAAGCATATAATGAAACTGGAAAAGGTTCAGAGGTTTGCAACGAGACTCGTCCCAGAGCTACGAGGATGGGGTATGAAGACGCCTGAGGACTGTGCCTTACGACACTAGAAAGAAGAAGGGAGAGGGGGGACATGATAGGAACCGTATAAGATACTCAGAGGAATTGACAGAGTGGACTAGACGAATGTTCACACGGTAGTACAGAACGAGAGGACATGGATGGAAGCTTGAACTCAGATGAGTCACAGAGATGTAAGGAAGTTTTCTTTAGCGTGAGAGTAGTGGGGAAATGGAATGCACTTCAGGAACAGGTTGTGGAAGCAATACTATTCTAATTTAAAACCAGGTATGATAGGGAAATGGACAGGAGTCATTGCTGCACCGATGCTCGAAAGGCGGGACCAAGAGTCAATGCTCGATCCTGCAAGCACATATAGGTGAGTACATATAGGTGAGTACACCACACACACATCACACACACACACACACACACACACACACACACACACCACACACACACACACCACACACACACACACACACACCACACACACACACCCACAGCCACACACACACATTTACACATATACAGATATCAGCGGCATACACCACGTTAGCCGACATAAGAAACGGCATTCAGAAACTTGTGTAGGAATCATTCAGAACTTTGTATACCACATATATCATACCAATCCTGGAGAATGCAGCTCCAGCATGGAGTCCGTATCTAGTCAAGCATAAGACTAAACTGGAGAAGGTTCAAAGGTTTGCCAGCAGACTAATACCCGAGCTGAGAGGTATGAGCTACGAAGAGAGACTACGGGAGTTGAAAGTCACGTCGCTGGAAGACAGAAGAGTTAGGGGGGACATGATCACCACATACAAAATTCTCAAAGGAATTGATAGGGTAGATAAAGAACATGCTATTTAATCCAAGGGGCAAACGCACTAGGGGACACAGGTGGAAATTGAGTGCCCAAATGAGCCTACCTTGAGGTAACCTTGAGGTGATTCCGGGGCTCAGCGACCCCACGGCCCGGTCGTCGACCAGGCCTCCTCGTTGCTTTACTGGTCAACCAAGCTGTTGGACGCGGCTGCTCGCAGCCAGACGTATGAGTCACAGCCTGGTTGATCAGGTATCCTTTGGAGATGTTTGTCAAGTTCTCTCTTGAACACTGTGAGGGGTCAGCCAGTTATGCCCCTTATGTGTAGCGGAAGCGTGCTTCGCTTCTAGCCACAGAGATATTAGAAAAAACTTTTTTTGTGTCAGAGTGGTTAACAAATAGAATACCTTAGGCAGTGATGTGGTGGAGGCTGACTTCATACACAGTTTCAAGTGTAGATATGCTAGAGCCCAGTAGGCTCAGGATCCTGTACACCAGTTGATTGACAGTTGAGCAAAGAACCAAAGCTCAGCCCCCGCAAGCACAAAAAAGGTCAGGAATCATTCATTCAGTACTTTTTATACCTCTTTTATCAGACTAATTCTGGAGTTTGCAGCTCCAACGTAGAGTCCATATCTAGCAAATACGAAACAAAGTTGAAAAAGATATGCCACCAGGCAAGTCCCAGAGCTAAGGGGTATGAGCTACGAGGAAGGACTACCGGAACTAAACCTCACGACACTAGAAGACAGAAAAGTTAGGGAAGACATGATCACCATCTATAAAATTCTCAGAGGAATTGACATGTTAGATAAAGACCAACTATTTATCACGGGTTGTACGCGAACAAGAGGACACAGGTAGAAACGTAGTGCCCAAATGAGCCACAAGGACGTTAGAAAGAAATTTTTCAACAGGAGGGTAGTTAATAAATGAATGCATTTCGCAGTGATGTGATGGAGGCAGACTCCATACACAGTTTCAACTGTAGATATGATAGAGCCCAATAGGCTCAGGAACCTATTAAACTAGGTTAGGTTAGGTAGGTTAGGTTAGGTAAGTTAAGTAGGTAAATTAAGTAGGTTAGGGAGGTTAGGTTAGGGAGGTTAGGATAGGGAGGTTAGGTAGGTTAGGTTTGATCAAATTTTTCTCCTAATTTTGACACAAATGACATCAAATTGGAATCTTATATAATGCCTGAATACACAATTGCTTCTGCATGTTTCCGTAATGTCTGTGTGACTAGAATGTGCCAACAAATTATGGGTATAATGAGCCTTTTGAAGTAGGAACAAGAATATGATTGATCTGAAGTGACACAGAGGATGAAGTGTTGCCTCCAGTAAGAGAGGCTCCATTATAGTTAGCATCGAAGACTCGCAAAAGGAAAAGGCTCCACGCCATTTGTGTTATTAGAAATAATCCAAAGAGTTAGGTCAATAATTTGGCATAAATCTCACCACTACTTCTTTTGTATTTTTTCACTTGCTTACATTGATTAAAAATAAATTCGCCTTTGCTTATTTCACTACTTTATTTAGAAAGTGCATTTAGGGAAGTACATATACACTTCACATATTCAGGCTCAACCATACCAGGCCAAAGTCCGACCCTCAGCCCGAGACTGACTACAAATGGCAGACAGAGCCACCCGTTTCCATGACAACCGTAAAGATCCTCTCATGGAACCTTAACCTTTAATACCATAGTCACTAGAGGACACATTTTCCTGTTATTCGTTGGTAATTGTTGTCCAATCTTATCATTCAACACTGCGATTTCATGATGCTATTTTAGTCCTGCGTGTCTATTATTGCGTAATTTTCTCGTGAATTTAATTTACGCACGCAGACAGGTATGCAAACACACACACACACACAAACACACACAGACACACACACACACACACACACACACACACACACACACACACACACACACACACACACACACACACACACACACACACACACACACACACACACACACACACACACACACACACACAATGCAACTACACAACGCAAACACGCACCCAAGCACGCATTCAGGTATTGATAACATTGGGCCATAACATTGGGCCATAACATTGGGCCATACAGTGGCTTGGGTCTGGAACAAGCTGCTGTGCGCTTGACCAGGCCACATGTGTGTGTGTGAATTATGTACAAATGAGTCTTGCAGAAAATCTGACCACTATGTGCTAGATGGTATTAGTAGATACGTTTAACAGCTAAGACTAAGCCATGTATAATGATATGCAAAACAGTGCAGTGCCCAAGACATGCATGACTGTCTTGGGCTCCTTATATCTTAGGTATCTTGTATCTTTTCGTGAAAACTTTAGGTATATTATTATTGCTATATATATATATATATATATATATATATATATATATATATATATATATATATATATAAATATATATATATATATATATATATATATATATATATATATATATATATATATATATATATATATATATGTCGTACCTAGAAGCCGGAACGCACTTCTCAGCCAACTATGCAAGGCCCGATTTGCCTAATAAGCCAAGTTTTCCTGAATTAATATATTTTCTCTAATTTTTTTTCTTATGAAATGATAAATCTACCCATTTCATTATGTATGAGGTCAATTTTTTTATTGGAGTTTAAATTAACGTAGATATATGACCAAACCTAACCAACCCTACCTAACCTAACCTAACCTATCTATATAGGTTAGGTTAGGTAGCCGAAAAAGTTAGGTTAGGTTAGGTTAGGTAGGTTAGGTAGTCGAAAAACAATTAATCATGAAAACTTGGCTTATTAGGCAAATTGGGCCTTGCATAGTAGGCTGAGAAGTGAGTTCTGGCTACTAGGTACGACATATATATATATATATATATATATATATATATATATATATATATATATATATATATATATATATATATATATATATATATATATATATATATATATATATGTCGTACCTAGTAGCCAGAACGCACTTTTCAGCCTACTATGCAAGGCCTGATTTGCCCAATAAGCCAAGTTTTCATGAAATAATGTTTTTTCGACTACCTAACCTACCTAACCTAACCTAACCTACCTTTTTCGGCTACCTAACCCAACCTAACATATAAAGATAGGTTAGGTTAGGTTAGGTAGGGTTGGTTAGGTTCGATCATATATCTACGTTAATTTTAACAACAATAAAACAAAATTGACCTCATACATAATGAAATGGGTAGCTTTATCATTTCATAAGAAAAAAAATTGTGAAAATATATTAATTCAGGAAAACCTGGCTTATTAGGCAAATCGGGCCTAGCATAGTAGGCTGATAAATGCGTTCTGGCTACTAGGTTCGACATATATATATATATATATATATATATATATATATATATATATATATATATATATATATATATATATATATATATATATATATATATATGTCGTACCTAGTAGCCAGAACGCACTTCTCAGCCTACTATGCAAGGCCCGATTTGCCTAATAAGCCAAGTTTTCATGAATTAATTGTTTTTCGACTACCTAACCTACCTAACCTAACTAACCTAACTTTTTCGGCTACCTAACCTAACCTAACCTATAAAGATAGGTTAGGTTAGGTTAGGTAGGGTTGGTTAGGTTCGGTCATATATCTACGTTAATTTTAACTCCAATAAAGAAAAATTGACCTCATACATAATGAAAAGGGTAGATTTATCATTTCATAAGAAAAAAAATTAGAGAAAATATATTAATTCAGGAAAACTTGGCTTATTAGGCAAATCGGGCCTTGCATAGTAGGCTGAGAAGTGCGTTCTGGCTACTAGGTACGACATATATATATATATATATATATATATATATATATATATATATATATATATATATATATATAATATATATATATATATACATATATATATATATATATATATATATATATATATATATATATATATATATATATATATATATATATAATATATATATATATATATATATATATATATATATATATATATATATATATATATGGGAGGTATAACTGTTATATTTTTCTTATCACAAAATCTGTATTGGTGTTCAGAAATAATTAGTAAATATCTGGTAACGTTAAATTTGCTTTTATCAGTCGTAACAAAGAAGTAAATGTACATATGGTATAAGATTTTTGTACAGTCGTGTGGTCTAGTGGTGAAGGTACCAGGTATGCCAAGGTGCATAGTGTTCCTGTCTGTCTGGGTTCGAATCCTTCTGGGGGGGGGGGTGGAATTTTCAGTTGCATATTGTCTTGGGAACCATTCAAGCTTGTTCCCTTTTGTGTTGCTCACGTGGCCCCACAAAGTGAGGTGATTTGATGAAATATCTTTGCCCAAGTTGACCACCGAGCACTGTTGGATCTTGGATTCCTCTACTCGCATCCTTCCAACACACTTTTCTCCACAGCTTCATCGCATCAGCGTCCGTTCCGTGACGCCGAACCGTCGGACGTCGCGGGATGCTGCCTGCACGATGGTAATCGGGAAGGATGCGCCGCTGGGTCCGACCAGCGTCAAAGCCACCTCCATCACGTCCACCTCCGCCGTCATCTCCTGGCTACCCTCTAATTCTAACTTCCAGCATACTGTCTGCGTCAACAACGTCGAGGTCCGCACCGTCAAGCCAGGAGTGTACCGTCACACCATCACAGGTACGTGTCAAGTGGTCTCCAGTAGAACTCACATAAACAATTTAAATTTCCTAAACTTTGTGACGTTACGTTGTGACGTCACTTGCTGGGTGCTTGATGAGTAATTCTACATATTACCTAAGTAGTGTATTGGCCAAAGTGCAGGCAGGCCAGTCGTAATATGCTGGTTGTAGCATCAATTAGGGCCTCCAGACCCTCCCAGTACATTCAACAGAGTTCTGGGTTGAACAGATTTTGTCCTATCGTGGCCGAGTTGGTTAGAGAAAGCGTCTGGGAATCACTAGAACGCTGGTTCGACTCACCTCATTGACCCAAAGGTTTGTGAACGAGCAGAATGTTGATGATGAACGTAGGAAATAGGTCTTCGATCACCAATCTGTGAACGTAATTACATTTAAACGTGAAATGCTCAAAATTTGAACAGTGTAGATGATTTGTAGACCTGCCAGGCTTCTGAAGAACAATCATTACCAGAGGAAACCACTACGACGGTATGGCTCTATAGCAGTTTTTGATAAAGGTGAGTGTCAAAAAATATTTTTACATTCATAAGTTGGATAAACAGACGTACAGACAGATGTAAAGAGAGACGTATGTGTTGCAGAGCTTGCAATTTATATATATATATATATATATATATATATATATATATATATATATATATATATATATATATATATATATATATATATATATTATATATATATATATATATTATATAATATATATATATATATATATATATATATATATATATATAATATTCTGGCTGTAGCTTACTGTGTATGAACAAAATATGGACTTGTATAAGAAATGTACATTTTATACTAATGGAATTCTATAATGCATTAAAACCACTGTAAGAGCCTAACTATTATCCTAACATCCTAGGCATAAATAAGCAATTCTAGGCCTAACAAACGTAATCCTAATCCAAATTTACTACATGTATTTACTAGTAAGAGGAAAAGTTATGTTTTTCTGTTGGCTTCTAATTTTTTTTTTTTGGCTCTCAACAAATATTAATTGTACTAAGCCTGGATTTATTTATTGGTACGAAAGTCCATATTTTGTACATTTCATCCACAGTCGCTGTATGTACAGTCATACTTGGATGACAGGATGCTGCTATGTCTAGAGTTTTCCTGGAAATAACACCACTTTTCTTCTCTCCCGTACTTTCCAACCTCCTGATATCGCGATCAACACTACACTGCCCGCAATAACACCCTCGACAACCAATTACCATCATCTCCGGCTGCCACCTGCCAACACCCTCGGCCACCACCTGCAGGCTTGTCCCCTAACACCACCTACCGTGTGACTATACGTGCCAAAAATCTACGAGCACCGCAGTTCGACGAGAAAGCCACTAGGAACCAAGACCGACTCTCCACCACTATAGAGTTCCGCACACTGCCTAAGGGTGAGTAACTCTCCACAGAGTCCATAGCTATCATGTTTTCTGCAAAATATTGTTGGAGAGAACTCAGAGATTGTGGTTTGGTGAGACGGCAGTCATTCCCCTCCTTTCCCTTTCACAGGCATTTGCTTAGCAACAAAATTATGATATTTTGATGTTGCTCGTTTTCTCACTTGTGAATAGCACTCATGTATCAAGAAGGCTGTTTCGTTATATGTGGCGGATTATGCTTATATCATTAATATAGTAATAGTGATTACTATATTTATACTATATGTTAACGTGATTACCCCTTTGAAGGAGTTTACTCATATACCACATAATAACAAATTTTGTTATCATATATTTTCATTATACCGTCATCTTCGTTGAATACGGTGCTTTGTACTTTCAATGAAGATTTGCTACACAATGATCGTACTTCGATCATTGTGTAGCTATCGATGAAGGATATCGACACTGTCGATTATGGATAGTTTCAAAGTTCCATTTCACGTAATTTTTGAATGTTTCAAATCTGCATTATCTTATCGACATTAAATACAGCTCTATCAATATGCTTTTTATTTTCTCTATTTATGGGCAGTTGGACAAGTCATCGTCAGTTGTTGAGCCGACCTCTTTAACACATAATATTTTATCAATATATTGAATTACAAGACTTTTGACCATTGGGATTATTAATCAGATTTTAAATTTAGATTATACGTACGAGAGAGGGATAGCTTCATTATCTTTATTTTTTTAGTTTAAAGGGTACAAGGAATTGTGCAATAGCAGAAAGGCGCAATATTGGAGATACAAGTGCATGCTTTTAATTAAAAGGTAAACTTGGTTTCCGACGTAATAAACTTGCTCAGTCGGCCCATATGGGGCTTCTGGTACCAAAGGATAATTGATGTTCAAACTCTGCTTTGAAGATGTGTTTGAACTGTAGTTACAATGACCTGCCAAGTTAATCCTGCTGGTAATTTTGTATATGAAGCGTATATTATTATTGCGCAAAACTAGTTGATGGCCTCCTGCATGATTGATTAGTTAATGAAAAAATACTTGTAACCGGTCAGTGTTTGGAAATTTGCTTTGACTTTACTTTTTGAATCAATGGAAGAGCTGGCAAGAGGCCGTAACATTATTTAATTCGCGTATTTGAGCTTTAAGTTTGTTACAACTGTTGTCAGCTGAAACAGTGCTAAGAATCTGCAAATATTACTGTAGCTTAAGGCCCAAACATTCGGAAGTTAGACATATAATATGCACGTTCGACCGTGTTCATTCGTGCTCTGGGTAGATTTGTATATGAAAATCGACGATAAAACGCAGTTATTTAATCTTCGTTTCGGCCACAGAAACTTAACACAAGAGCCAAATTATATATCATTTGAAGACTTCAGATACGTCCATTGCACCGCTGTGGGCAAGTGAGGAAGATTTAATGGTTTCCCAACTCGCATATAAAACAATAAATAAATATCTAACGCCTCATGTTTCCACATCTCCAACTCCAAGTTTAGTTGTCTCAGACTTGCCAACAGTTTTTTTTATTACTCTGCACACGTGTTATTTTTGTTGGATTATGTGCAATATCTCAATTACCACCGATACTATTCTAACCAATGTATTACACAAAAAAGATGCTGCTCCTTACGTTGGTAAGTATGATCACTCCGGTGTCTAGGCGTCTCTCATGAGCGCCTTTTGCCTCCTCTTTACGATGCTTGCCTCTTCACACACACGCACTGTTGATGCCCCGACGTGACCTCACCAGTGTCTCAACTTGAAGAACCTTCTTTTCCATCCATTCCCTTACCTTCTCTATACTCTCTCTTTCCCTCCTCTCACCAGCTACAGAAAATGAGTAGCAAGTTTGATAATTAAAGGCGTTAGTTCAGCTTTTGACTGAACCATAATTAGCATATCCTGTCTCTGGATTAGTTAAATTATATTAAAACTTATTCCATTATTCGTGGAACAACTGGTCATCTCCTAGCTGGTAAATATTGTCATAATTTTTGTACACAAAATCTATGGTATATATATATATATATATATATATATATATATATATATATATATATATATATATATATATATATATATATATATATATATATATATATATATATATATATATTTTTGCGGTGTGTTTCATATAACACTTAATCAAACTAAACTAGTTTTCGATAATTAGTAAGCAGTGGAAACAATCAACTTTGCTTGTAATAAGATCGAAATCAACAAACACTTTCAAATGAAATCTTGCCGAATAAATATTTCAACTGTTTAGTTTTCTTTTCTTCTTAAGAGATTTTCAATTCTAGTTTTTCTCCATTACATAAATACATTTGAGTACATAGGGTACCATTAGTTTTGTTCACTGTGACGTCACGACAGCGGCTCTAAACACGTCTTGACAGCTTTATCCAAGCTCCTCTTAAACAACGCATGAGGTGGCTCGCTCACTCATTATTATAAGAGTATGACGCATTTACTGCTTGCTAATGAACTGTTGCTTTTAGCTATGGCTTCTCTTACTGCTGAAATCTTGCGGGATTTGTTTCCATTAAAATTATTTCATTTATAACGTTTCCCAATACTTTGAGGTGAAATGTTTACAATGGTTGATGGCTTGGTTGGGATAGTGAGATTAATCAGAGATTAGGGAAATAGTTTTTTCGCTGTATTTGACATAATGATGAATGTGAACAGCTGTAAGTTTTGCCTTGAAAACTATATTTTTCTGTGTCATGATTTCCAAAGCAGAGACATATGGCATACAACTGGGAACATAAATTTGTCAAAATTTACGAAATTTTCCCGAGTGATGAACGTGGGTTTCAGCAGTGATCAAGGAAGATTAATAGTAAGAGTTGTGGTTGCTTTGATCTAGATCTGGTGCTGGGCATAACGCATATCAACCTATAAAAGGTTACTATGACAACTACAACAGCTTACTGACCAACCAGAAAGAATACTTTAATGCTGAACATAGTCCAGTACAAAAGTATACTCTCAGTGTACATACACCCAGAAACGGGTACATCTCTTGGTGTATATATATCGCGAGTGTTGGTGTATACAAAACAAGAATCTATTTTGATGGAAACTGCAGACTTTCAGGTGCAAATAATAAAAGATAATAGCTATCGTGACGGTAATAAAAGAACGCGTTAAATGTAATATACATGTATGTTTGAACAATATGCTGGAAGGTTTGGGTTATGAGTCAATATGTCCAAAGCTCACATGTTAAATTCTTTGACTCTTCTTTGAAAAGCAATTTGTAATCTATCAAAGAGACAAAAAATAATGACAAGATTTAGTGTGTTGAATAAACACTATATGTTTAAGAGTACGATAAGGGAAGGGAACTATCAGGAGAAATTGCCAAGCCATTACGACTATATAGCAATGAGAACTAGAATTAATTTTCCTCAAAAGCAATCTGAGACTTGAATAAAGGTTCCACAGAAGCAACTTAAAAATATATAAATATTTTAAATTTGTTTAATTCAAAACCTGCAAGAACCGATACAAAGTGTAGCGGTAAGAGGATGCCAAGTAAGTTGTAGGGATGTGTAAGATGGTGACCCACTCCCTTTCTGTGTTCCATGCTCCGCCAAGGTTGGAGAGGTAAATATACCAGCCCCCACATATTGTCCTCCCACCCCAACAGTGTACCTAACCCCACTGCCATCCCCTTCACGATGTGTTCTCCCTCCTACTCTTTCCCAACACGATATATACCAGCACATAGCTCTCCCACCAAAATCATTCAGTGTTCAAATACCTGACAAGTTCCCAAATATGGTGTTTCCTGCTTCTCGACCATCTCCTTCCCCACCAGCGCATAGTCGTCCTCTCACGCGGTCCCACCTCGTCCCCATATGTGTGCCTGTCTCCAGCGTATAGTCGTCGACTACAAGCATCAATAGTCCCACTAGTATTAGAGACGCGAGCCTCCTTTGAGATCATTGACTGCTTTAATACATCAGTTCACAAGTATATTATCAAAATATATTTCGTCCATGATGATTGAAGGGCAGCGAGCGTCCTTAAGGGTGTGTGGAGGCGTAAGCTCAGCAGGTGGACAGCAGGGGTGTCTGGTTGAGCAGGGTGGACACCAAGGGTGTCCGGTTACCACTGTAGGACCCGTCACAGGGTGTCTGGTTGATGACCACTGTAGGACCCGTCACAGGGTGGACACCAGGGGTGTCCGGTTGATGACACTGTAGGACCCGTCACAGGGTGGACAGTCCGGATGACCACTGTAGGACCCGTCACAGGGTGGACACCAAGGGAGTCCGGTTGATGACCACTGTAGGACCCGTCACAGGGTGGACACCAAGGGTGTCCGGCTAATGACCACTGTAGGACCCGTCACAGGGTGTACACCAAGGGTGTCCGGTTAATGACTACTGTAGGACCCGTCACAGGGTGGACACCAAGGGTGTCCTGTTAATGACCACTGTAGGACCCGTCACAGGGTGGACACCAAGGGTGTCCGGTTGATGACCACTGTAGGACCCGTCACAGGGTGGACACCAAGGGTGTCCGGTTGATGACCACTGTAGGACCCGTCACCTGCTCCGGACAGTGTCAACCAGTATAACAAAGTACTGGCATTTTTCTCCGTAATGAGACAATCTCCATTTTCTTCGGGATTTATACTACATTACGCTACTATGAGTTATGTGTGTTCAAACAGTAATCACACTAACGGGACTGCATCAGTGAGAAACTGTATCACGACTCCTTCGGATTTAACAGTTGTGTGTGTAGTAATGACGTAGTTAAACGAAGTCCCCTGATAGTCCCCTGTGTCGGTGATAGCCCCCTGTGTCGGTGATAGCCCCCTGTGTCGGTGATAGTCCCCTGTGTCGGTGATAGCCCCCTGTGTCGGTGATAGCCCCCTGTGTCGGTGATAGTCCCCTGTGTCGGTGATAGCCCCCGGTGTCGGTGATAGCCCCCTGTGTTGGTGATAGCCCCCTGTGTCGGTGATA